ATATCACACATGAGTAAAATTTTGCTGAAGATCATTCAAAAGTGATTGCTGCAGTACATCCACAGGGAACTTCCAGAAGTTCAAGCTGGATTCAGAAGAGGATGTGGAATGAGGGATATAATTGCTGATATCAGATGGATCTTAGCTGAAAACAGAGAATAATACTGGAAAGATGTTTACCTATGTTTTATTGACTATGCAAAGGCATTCGACTGTGTAAACCAAAACCAAAACCCATTGCCATTAAGTCGATTCCAACTCATGGTGACCCTATAGGACAGAGTAGAACTGCCCCATAGAGTTTCCAAGAAGTGGCTGGTGGATTCCAACTGCCAATCATTTTGGTTAGCAGCTGAAATGATGAATAATATTGCAAAGAACTGGAATTCCAGAACACTTAACTGTGCTCATGAGGAATCTGTACATAAACCAAGAGGCAGTTGTTCAAACAGAACAACGGGATATTTGGGGATTAAAGTCAGTATAGGTGTTTGTCAGGGTTGTAACCTTTCACCATACTTATTCAATCTATTTGCTGAGCAAATAATCAGGGAAGCTGGACTATATGAAGAAGAATGCGGCGTTAAGATTGGAAGAAGACTCATCAACTGCGTTATGCAGATGGCACAACCTTGCTTGCTAAAAGTAAGGATGACTTGAAGCACATACTGATGAAGATCAAAGACAACTGCCTTCATTATGGAGTGTACCTCAATACAAAGAAAACAAAAATCCTTACACGTGGACCAATAAGCAACATCATGATAAACAGAGAAAAGATTGAAGATGTCAAGGATTTCATTTATTTGCACCCACAATCAATGCTCATGGAAGCAGCAGTCAAGAAATCAAACAATGTATTGCACTGGGCAAATCTGCTGCAAAAGACCTTCTTAAATTGTTAACAAGCAAAGATGTCACTTTGAGGTCTAAGGTGCGCCTGACACAAGCCATGATACTTTCAATCACCTCATATTCATGCAAAAGCTGGACAACGAATAAGGAAGAATGAAGAAGAATTGAATTACAGTGTTGGCAAAGAATATGTTGGACAGCCAGAAGAACAAAAAAATCTGTCTTGGAAGAAGCGCAGTCAGAATGCTCCTTAGAAGCAAGGATGGCGAGACTTGGTTTCATGTACTTTGGATGTATTATCAGGAGGGATCAGTCCCTGGAGAAGGACATCATACTTGGTAAAGCAGAGGGTCAGCAAAAGAGAGGAAGACCCTCAAGGAGATGACTGATACAGTGGCTGCAACGATGGGCTCCAACATATCAACTATTGTGAGGATGGTGCAGGATCGGACAGTGTTTCTGTTGTACGCAGAGTAGCTATGAGTCGGAACCAACTTGATAGCACCTAACAACAACAACATTATGATGGCCTCTGGACTGATTATCCTGTCTCTAGAAGCTCTCCTTATCAATGTTATACATGATCACCAGAACTTTCTAAAATATGGTATTCCTCTGCTCCAAACCCCCACTGTTTGTCCTTTAGATAACAGAATGACATCAAATCTATTGATATCTCATTCATGAAAACTCCCTGATCCTCATTTAATCTTCTATAACCTCCAGATATATCTCCTTCAGCTCCTTCCATACTGTTTGAAAAGTCTAGGCACTGGTTAACTTAAAAGGAAGATAAGCCTAATGATTGAAATTCAATTACTATGATAGTAAAGATTTTAGTTCATATACATGCTTGGCTGATATGTGAAAGGGCAGAGAGTATTGTGAAAAAAAGAGAAGATGTGCTTAAATCTCTTTCTTCCTTATTGTGGTTGTTGTTAGGGGCTGCCAAATTGTTTCAACTCATAGAGACCTTATATGACAGAGCAGAACTTCCCCATAGTGTTTTCCTGGGGGTAATCTTTTCAGAAGGAGATCACCAGGTCTTTCTCTTGCTGAGCTGTGGGTGGGTTCCAACTGCCAATGTTTTGGTTAGCAGCTGAGCACTTAACTATCATGCCACCAAGGCTCCTTTCCTCCTACTCTCCAAAAACCAAACCCATTGCCGTAGAGTCAATTCTAACTCTTAGTGACCCTATAGAACAGAGTATAACTGTCCCATGGGGTTTCCAAGGCTGTAATCTTTGTGGAAGCTGACTGCCACATCTTTCTCCTGAGGAGTGGCTGGTGGGTTTGAACTGTCCACATTTTGGTTAGCAGCTGATCACTTAACCACTGCACCACCAGGGATCCTCCTCCTTCTCTACATAGTCGTAAAGCAGACATATGCATACAAAATAAAATATTGGCAACTGAGGTAAAAAGGGGCAAAGAAAACTATTTTATTCATTCGATCATTAATTCATTCAGTCAGTCATGCATTCATTCGGAAAACATTTAGAAGCCTCATTCATAGCGTGAGGTGAACATGCAGATGCTGCCACAATTCCACAGTGTACCTACCTGTCTTCAGCCTACACAGAGGTCTCTATTCTCCTCTGCCAGTGGTTTGGCACCTACGCAAATGCTAATTTCATTTTAAAACAAGCAACTTCTTAGAAGAGCTATATTCATTTGCAAGCTTGTCTCTTGCCAGATATTCAAAAGCAGGTGCAATGGGGTCAGCTACCTCTGAGAAATAAACAAAAGGTTTCATGTATGAGTCAGTGTGACCTTTACTGGCAGAAAACAGGAGAACCAGAGCTGAAAGCAGCAGTTTATGTACTTAGTTAATCCAGTTGCATGAATAAGCAGGGCTTAGAATGTACAAGTGTTTTCAGTGAATATAAGAGTAAATGTGGACCTCATGGGACCCCTTCTCAATATTCACAGATGAAACGTATTCTCACAGGCTTAACTTTCTTCTTCATGGACAGACGCATTAAAATAAGTATCTCATTTCTCTCTCCAAAAGTTGGAAATGTCTCACCCAACAAATTCATCACCTATATAAGTAGATTTAAATGAGTCAAGTCCTTCAACCAACAACAAAATAATCTTTCTTTTGGCAAAGTAATAAAAAGTACTCTGTTCTTATATTTGGAATTATTTCAAATACGTTCTTCATGCATTTTAGTGATTCTTCTTAAATCTTTTGCAATCTACCTTCTCAAAATAAAATTCTCCTTCAAAAGGCATTTATTTTTCTTCTCTAATTTATTTTAGGAGGAAGATGCCCTATTGTAGATACCCTTTGGCTAATTTCAGAGAATATTAAGCAGTGTTTGTTTTCGCTTGTGCATATTAATACTTAGAAATGTCCTAGAAGTTAATGAACTTAACCTGTCTTGGCATAAAGTATACAAACTGTGAGGGGTGCAGTCTGGGAGCTCTAGTCTGGCTTTCTGGATTTAATAGAGCATACAATTTTTCACTTGCAGATTTTTGGCACCAGAGAAGAAGAATATTGGTAATGTGACATTTTACCCCAAGAGAATTCAAAATATTATTTCCAACAGCGGCATTATGTTCTGTTTTGCTTTCTCTATAAATGCCTTGCACAATGTAGACCCTCATTAATCATCCATTGAATAAACTAACACATTGAATATATGCGTGTGTATACATATAAGTAAATACAAAATGCTCAGGGACATGCAGCTCAGCACTTCATTGGAGAGAGGCCCTCAGTGATAACAAGTACATCTTGTACCACCACTTTGAGTTCTTTGAACTGACATCGATGTATCGTGAGTAAGCAGATAAACCGAGGCTTTCTTAGGCCATAATTCTGAGGGTCCTCTGAGGTCAATATTTGTTAACAGAAAACATTTCTCAAATAAATCAGACTCATCTTTCTCTTCCTGCTCATGCTGTTTATTTCTGTGACACCACAGTGCTTTGTCCTGGGACTGAAAAAAAATGGAAGACTTTCTTTGACCCTGTGGTAGCACTCAGAAAACAAAAGCCCTGCTGAGGGGTCCTAGGTAGAACCAATTAAGCTTTCCTTAACATTTTCTGAGGCCCTAGGAGGCTTTTTTTATTTTTCCAGACTTATGTGGGATGTTCTTATTTTCTGTAGATCCTCTCAAAATACAAAAATGGACACTAATAATTAGGTTTTCTGCCTATAATTTTTTTTGATGCACTTTGCAACACAGAAGATTTGTCAAAGGTTTTTGCCTGGGAACCTATCTTCTCTGTACCAAAGTCATAAATAATGATGTGCTAGTCTTTGTTTTAAAATACACTTTTTGTTGAAAAATTACATACACAGCAGAGTGCTCATCATAAGTATACACAAAGTGAACACACCCGTGTGACCAATCACTTCTTAGTCACTATTCCTCCAAGAATAAACACCACCCCTGACTTCTAATATCATAGATTAGTTTACATGGCTTTTGAAATTTTATCTAAATGGACTCATAAATTATGCACCCTAATGTGCCTGGTTTCTTTGACTCAATATTGTGCTTCTGAGATGCATCCAGGTCATTGTATATTTTGTAGTTCATTCATTCCCACCACTGTATAATATTTCACTGTATGAATAGACTAAAGTGTATCCATTGTATTCTTAATGAACACTTGGATTGTCTCCAGTTACGCTGTTGAGACTAGTGGTGTTATGAGCATTTTTGTGCACGCCTTTTGGTGAACATTTGTACATATTTCTGTTGGGTATGTACCCAGGAGTAGAAGTGCTGGATGATAGTATATGCATGTGCTTGGTTTAGTGACAAATGGTTTCCCAAGGGAATTGATCAAATTTATACCCCAACCAATAGGGAATGAGTGTTGATGTTTTCAGTATTTTTCATCAATGCTATTTTGATGGATGTGTAGTGAAATCATGATAATTTTAATTTGCATTTTCCTGATGACTAAGAAATCAGAGCAACTATAATTATAAATAATTTGGTCATCTTCTTTTTGAAATTCATATTTAAGATTTTTGTCCATTTTGCTATTGAGTTTTCTAGCTTTTTCTCATTGATTTGTTGGAACTATATATTCTGGATACAAATCCTTTGTCAATTGTATATATTACACATATCTTCTCCCATTCTCTGTGTGTGTGTGTTTTTTTAATTGAAATGTTTAAAAATATACAACGCTTCACAAACTTCTGTGTCATCCTTGTGCAGGGGCCATGCTAATCTTCTCTGTATAGTTCCAGTTTTAGTGTATGTGCCGCCGAGTGAGCGCTCATTCTGTGGTTTGCCTTCTCAATATCTTAATGGTGTCTTGACAACAGAAGTCCTTAATATTAACTCAATTTATCAATTTTTTTTCCTTTACACTTAGAAATATTTGCCTACCAAAGGGTCATAAAGATATCCTATTTTTTTCCAAAAAAAAACAAACACAAAAAGTCTTTATCTTTCATATTTACGTTGATTTTTATGGGGTGTGAGGTAATATAGTCAAGATACATTAGGACCTATGTTTCTTTTTACTTTCTTTTTTTATAATTTCCATGTTCCTTACTTGGGGAAACTAAAACTGGAAGACCTTTTATTATATTTTTATTTATATACTGTTAGTAAACTGTTTTAAAGTAACTATATAACATCAGAAAGTTGGAATAGGAGGAGACTTTCATTTAGAGATGAGGAAATTAATGTACAGTGATATTACCATGACTTGTATAAGGTAAAACTTACATTTAATATAAAGTGTTTTAACTATGTAAGTTAACAATATATTAGTATGTTATTTATTATTTTTCTTATTTTATAATGTAAAACCTTCATTTTAGGGACAAGGCTGCTTTTTTTTGTTTTTTTATTTCTGCCTCTAAAATGTGATGACCTATTATTCTTAACTGAATTAAAGGCTGATATTCTTTTCTTTTTACTGTATACCCCCAATTTTATAAAGAATAATCTAGATAAAGTCTCTAGGAAAATATGTCTGTAGTATACATAGAAACGATGATCTAACATTAATGTACTATCCTAAAAACTGGTTAAAGAAAAGCAAAATATTATCATTATTCAAGTAAAGCACTAGATTTTACTTTCTAGTTCTGCAATATATTGAAGAAATGAAGCAGAAAAAACACTGCAATTTTAAGATGCCAGATTTACTGGGCAAATAATTTGGAGGTCATCTTGAAATCATGCTGTTCCTATGAGCCATGTGCTATTAGCCAGACCTACAAAAATGTTGCCTCCAGATCCATCTTGTGAGCATCATCAAGTTTTATTTTAAGAGTGCTTTACCAGTTTGTATAAAAATTGCCTTCATCTTAATACAAACCAAAACATGTAACACTAAACAAATGTAATTTCATGGTTTTAAGTTGCTCACTCATTTTTATTTACTACTTTATTTATTATATTATTTACAAATCAAGAAAGGTGTAGGATTCTAATTAAAGAGACAATCTTTCATAAGTTACTTAGTCTAGCCTGTGCTGTCCATAGGGCTCTCCATGGTGACAGAAATGTTCTAAAGCTCTAGACCTGCATTGCCCAATACAGTAGCCACTAGCCACTTATTGAGCACTTGAAATGGGCCTAGTGTGACTGGGCAACTAAATTTTCAATTTGATTTAATTTTAGTTATTTTAGACTTAAATATCAATAGCCACACACGACTAGTGGTTACTATATTGGACAGCACAGGTATAACTAATCTCAGCATGTAGATTTTTTAAGGTAATAACCCCATGGTGAGAAAGAAAATAAGTACTGATAGAAAAGCAGCACCGATCTGCCAAAAAGGTCTTTGTAACTGACTATCTCCAACCTAAAAATGAAATGAATATGGATCACTTTTGCACACGCACACACACACACACACACACATACACACACAAAAAAATACATACACACATACATACCTGAAAATTCTTGTCCTGGATGTAAAAAATCAGAGGCAGATTGGAAAGCACCATTGCTTCCTTCCACCAATTACTGTTCCCTCTGTTTATAGCCTATAGCTGAGTTTGTAATGTGCTTGGCTGGGTTCCTACCATACATTCCACAGTCTACGAATCAAACACCACATTTATCCAAGTTCCATGAGTGACACCTCCCTTATTTTTTTAAGAGCATTAGTCAAAAATCACTTGAGGAAATAGTTATCTGAAATTCCAAAGTACAGTAAAATCTTTGAGGTATCACAATTTGATAAACATTGAAGTATCTGATTCAAGTTTTGTAAATATACTTAATACACGATGAGATATCGATTTTGATATGTATCATCGATATCCTTTTATTATTTTTATTAAATATTGTCTTAAAATTTACTCTTGAAATTAAAACCTATTTTCATTAATGTGCTCTGGATGTGACCAAATTTCAAAAAATTCAAGCGTTAACATACATTCAGCTTCAAAATTACTTTTCTGATTATAAAACATATAACAATTAGTCCAAATTTGCAACATGGATCTTTCTTGCTACAAAGGAAATAGTTTTTATATACATGTGTGCATTCTGTTTAGGGACAGTATGCAGGGATTTTTTGTGTGTTTCATTTTGTATTGCATTGTTTGGCAAAATAAGGTGATATTTCTTTTCCAAAAAGGAGCCTACATACAGTAGAAATTTTAAAACTCTCAAAATCCTTTCAATATTGTGACTCCTCTTCTTGTACAGTTAAAAATATCATGTTTATTTAGCAGATAAAATAAAAAAATGACAAGAATAATGATTGAACTTTTCTGATTGGTTCCTTTAAGGGCATACTTTCCTATGAGATGCAACTTTCAGTCACCTAAGGTAAGTCCTCACTGTGTCAGTCCTGCTTGCCTCTTTTTGGCATCACGAAACTTCATTCCTTTAGTCTGACACTTTGCTCTCAGGAAGATTTACTGGGGTTAGGGACACAGCTCCAATTGACAACTGGCAAAGTCAGTTTTGTAATTCCTTTTTTTTTCTCTCTCCCATAGAGAACAGAAAAATAATTTATTCCAAAGGATGGCAGAAAGAAATTCATTCTGAAAATATAGTTTAGTGTAATTCTGCCACGTTAGGACAGATCTTCCCTGTGAACATGCTCTCCTACTGACTGCCCCCACTAGAGTCATTTTAGCCTGTTTCTGGGCAGGTCTTAAACACTTCACTGATTCTCATGCCACGAACAGGCAGGGGCCATCTTCAAATCCACGGGTCCAATGAGAAGGTAACGTATTTTACAGGAGAATAGCACCTTCTATCTCAGAGCAGGACATAACATTTTGAGTAGTTGGCACGGTTTTAGGTTAAGTAGGCACATAATTAATCAAAGTGCAGAAAAGGTGACAAGAAAAAATACTGCATTTTAGAATAAGACATTCAAATATGGTGTGAATGTTTAAGGCAGGTGATTCACAAATAGATGAGTCAAGGAAGGTAGTCTGGGTTTGGAGGTGATTTTGCATCTAGAAGAACTCTCTTCATGACCTCAATGACTGCGCAATTTAGAGCATGTCTTGTTCAAGGCCAGTGATACTTGAGGTGCATGTTAGGGTTGTAGTCTTTCACCATATTATTCAACCTGTATGCCGAGCAAATAATCCAAGAAGCCAGACTATATGAAGAAGAACTTGGCATCAGGATTGAAGGAAGACTCATTAACAACCTGAGATATGCAGATGACAAAACTTTGTTTGCTGAAAGCTAAGAGGACTAGAAGCACTTACTGATGAAGATCAAAGACTACAGCCTTCAGTATGGATTACACCTCAACATAAAGAAAACAAAAGTCCTCACAACTGGACCAATAAACAATATCATGATATAGGGAGAAAATATTGAAGTTGTCAAGGATTTCATTTTACTTGGATCCATAATCAACATCCATGGAAGCAGCAGTCAGGAAATCAAATGACATATTGCACTGGGCAAATCTGCAGTAAAAGACCTCTTTAAAGTGTTAAAAAGCAAAGATATCACTTTGAGGACTAAGGTGTGCCTGACACAAGCCATGGTATTTTCAATCGCCTCATATGCATGCGAAAGCTGGACGATGAATAAGGTAGACCGAAGTAGAATTGATGCATTTGAATTATGGTATTGGCAAAGAATATTGAATATACCATGGACTGCCAGAAGAATGAAAAAATATGTCTTGGAAGAAGAAGAGCCAGAATGCTCATTGAAACAAGGAAGGCGAGACTTCATCTCACATACTTCGGAGATGAATGACACAGTGGCTGCAACGATGAGTTCAAGCATAGCAACGATTGTGAGGATGGCAAAAGACCAGAAAGTGTTTCTTTCTGTTGTACATAGAGTTACTATGAGTCAGAACCAACTCGACGGCACCTAACAACAACAACAGATGGATACAGAGGTATATGCAAATATAGATAATGCAAGCATTTCTCGAGGAAAGTGAAAAAGGAAGACACTATTGTTTCTATTGTATAGTTATAATTCATCATGAGCACAGTTAAGTGTTCTGGAATTCCTGTTCTTCACAATGTTATCCATAATTTGTTATGATCCACACAACCGAATGCCTTTGCATAGTCAATAAGACACAGATAAACGTCATTCTGTTATTCTCTGCTTTCAGCCAGGATACATCTGACATCAGCAATGATATCCCTTGTTCTATGTCCTCTTCTGAATCCTGCTTGAATTTCTGGCAGTTCCCTGTTGATATACTGTTGCAACCGCTTTTCAATGACCTTCAGCAAAATTTTACTTGCATGTGATATTAAAGAATGAACAAAACTGTCTTGGAAGAAGTACAGCCAGAATGTTCCTTAGAAATGAGGATGGCAAGACTTTATCTCACATACTTTGGACATGTTATCAGGAGGGACCAGTCCCTGGAGAAGGACACCATGCTTGGTAAAGTAGAGGGTCAGTGAAAAAGAGGAAGACCCTGAACGAGATGGATTGACACAGTGGCTGCTATAATGGGCTCAAACGTAGCAACGATCATGAGGATGGGGCAGGACCAGGCAGTGTTTCTTTTTTTTGTACACAGGGTCACTATGAGTCAGAACCGACTTGATAGCACCTAACAACAACAACATAGTTATAATTGTGCAAGATGCAAACATATAAGATGTTGGAGGAATTATACCAAAAATAGCAATGGTTATGATAGGTCACAAGGATTGTTTTTCCACCATAAGAGTATTTTTTTACAAAAGGGAAAAAAATCCATCCTTCCATTTACTTCCTCTAATTCAAGCCTCTTAAATGCAGCATTGTTTTGTTCACCTTCTCCCCTCATTGGCTGTGCATCCTCATGGA